GCGGAGCGGAGTGGTTCAGAGAGATCCAGAGAGGTCAGATATCGATACAGAGCGGTGCGGGCTCACAGAGCTTGAGCCAAAGGCTGTAGGAGATGTTCCACGTGATGGCGAGCGGAGCAGAGTGGTTCAGAGAGATCCAGAGAGGTCAGATATCGATACAGAGCGGTGCGGACTCACAGAGCATGAGCCAGAGACCGTAGGAGATGTTCCACGTGGTGGCGAAGACGAGGCAGCTCTTGGGGAACTCAACCCCCTGTATGTCCACGTTGCGAGCCCGGCTCCACAGGGCCTTCCCCTCCCCTGCAGGCGCCGCACATGCCTTATCACCCTCCTGCTTCCCCGCATCCCCATACCCACCGCCCTTCCCATTCCCGTTCGCCCGCTCCAATCCCCCCCCGGTCCCCTTCACGTCCCCGGCCTTCCCAGGGTCCCCCTTGGGGGTCTCCCAGCCGCTGAAGCCGAGCCCGGCGGTGATCATGGCGGCCTCGGTGATGCTCCAGAGGATGTACGCGCGGAAGCGCCACACGATGCACGCGTGGTACGCCACGAGCCAGCGGCGGTGGAAGGGATAGGTGCGGTTCTTGTGGCGGTCGCTGATGCGCGTGAGGTCGAGCGAGGGGGACACGAGCAGGAAGACGAGCGCTGAGAGCACGCCCTGGATGAACGCGCGGTAGAATGGCGGGAGGATGGGCGGCTGCTTGACACCCTGGGACCATATCTGCAGGTGGTAAGGAAGGGGATTGGCGGGAACCTGCAGAGTGGTGAGGCGCGGGGAGATGACGCCTTGAATGAATGCAGGGAAGGATGGCGGAGCGACGGACGGCTACTTGAGCGTGAAGGTCCAGATGTGTTCGGTGAGGAGAGGCGATCAGTGGAGAGGGGGATACACGGGAAGTGTGACAACCGTGACGGATAAGTATGAAATGGAGGAGATGAACAGTGGAGGGGAGGTCCGACACAAGAGGATGAAATGTAGAAGCCCGAGATCACGAAGTACGGGTGTGGCATCACAAGACAGCCCGGTGATATGGATGGTGCATCCGAGCCAGCCCACCTATCCATTGTTGACAAGTATGCATGTGCATGGATGGAAGCATGCCACGTTTGACAGCGTACCCCTTGTCTTTGGGTCCAGTCGTGGTAAGTCGTGAACTCGAAGAAGGGGCCCGTCATGTGCAGCCCGAGGCAGAACCTAATCGAGTGTTTGCAGTGGGAGGGACACCCACTCAGTGGACCCTGAAAAAAAACCTTGTGAACCAGTTTGCTTGAAAAAAATCTGCCATTCGAAAACCTAATCGAGGCCAAGTCACACTACCCCTCAACCGTACCCCAGACACAAGTATGCCTCACCAGACACAACTCGATCCCAGGGACTAATTTATTGACCCGTAACTAGCGCGTAGCTATGGATAGGGAGCGCCTACTAGCAGCACTGAGAGAGTGCACCGAAAGACCGCCTCCCAGTCGGTCCACCTCCTCTGCGCCCGAACCTCCAGCGCCAAACAGTGTCGACGCGCAGCCCACCATAACTGAACAGCAGCCGCGTTTTCGCGTTCCCGTCGCCCCCGTTGTAGACGCAAATGCTCCCACTGGCACCGCGCTTTCGGGGGACTCAGAGGACGACGAGGAGCAAACCACTTATGTAAACGAGAGCGAGACAGTCGAAACCGGACGTTTCGTGTGGACCGACGCTCTCACGAGTGGATTATTGGACATTGTTCACGAAACGCAGCTCGAAAATGGCCTGGCGCCCCACGCCAAGGTCACCCATTGGACTGAAATTTTCGACAAGTGGAATGCAGTCCACCCTGAGTCGCTGTTGACTAAGGATAAACTGTCCAATCATCTTAAAATCGTCAAAGGGTGGGTGAAGGACATCAAAACTCTGCAGCGGATGTACCCATCCGGAGTGCCATGGTACCCGAAAGTGGAGACGTTCAATCCACCTGCACAGGTACGATTCCCCGGTTGACACTTAACAATCTAAGATGCTTCAACCGTTGTCCGCTCTTGCAACTCATAACTACAAGTGTCTGCCATGGACGTGTGAGTTTCCGTCACCTCCACCTTCCACGACGCCATGTGTTTCCTCCCCACAGATCTTGGAAGAGCTCCGGACGGATACCCGCTGGCCAAAGTTTAGCAAGTGGACAAAGAACGTGGCACCTTGGCTGCCCGTTGCTGAGAAGCTTGTGCACATGGCTGGAGCACGCGGCCGATGGGCAGCAGCTGGGCGTACTGGCCGTAGGGTGCTCCGGGACGATCCCGGCATGGATAACGCGTCTGTGCTCGGTGGGCACTCCCAAAATCGACCTTCCGTCCAAGGCGAAACTGTAGGAAACACTCCCCTTGGTGGCGCTGAAAACGGGGTGCAGGATGATGACGGGGTGGGCGGCGGACCGGCCGCCGCCCAGGGAAGTGTAGGCGTGGAAACTTCTCCACCTAGGAGTCGACCCGCTGCCAGTGAGGCTGATCCGCGTAGCCCACAATCTGGTACCTCCGCCGGTCCAAGAGGTAGGAGCCAAAGTGCCCGGCAAACCACCAGTGGAGGAGGGGTGCGTGCACAGACAACCTCGTCGCCCAGCACATCTACCCGACGCCGCAGGAGGAGTGAAGCGGGACGTGTGGCTCGCGGTATTGAGGCGCTGACGTCCGTGGCGGAGCGAGGAATCGCATGCAGTGTCAAAGGTGCGTTTCTGCCACGCATATGCGTGGCTGCCACGCTTTTCCTTGTGTGGGGAGATGTGGGGCAATGCTTTCCCCTGCCTTGCTCTCTGCTGCCATGCTTTCCCTTGTGCCTTGCTCTGTGCTGTCATGCTTTCCCCTGCCTTGCTCTCTGCTGCCATGCTTTCCCTTGCGTCGTGCTCTGTGCTGCCATGCTTTCCCTTGTGCCTTGCTCTGTGCTGTCATGCTTTCCCCTGCCTTGCTCTCTGCTGCCATGCTTTCCCTTGTGTCGTGCTCTGTGCTGCCATGCTTTCCCTTGTGCCGTGCTCTCTGCTGCCATGCTTTCCCTTGTGTCGTGCCTTGTGCTGCCATGCTTTACCCCGCCTTGCTCTGTGCAGACGATTACCCAACCGTTGAGAAGGCCGTTGAGGAGGTAGACGCCATGGAAGGTCTGTCCGCGGAATCGCGCGTGGAAGTGGCCTGCAATTTCTTCCGGAATCCAGTGGAAGCGGCCGGCTTCCTTCACATGAAAGAAGAGACCCGCCAAGCGTATGTGCAGAAGCGTCCCCGGGAGAGCAACACGTCCAACAGCGCGTCCGATAATGGGGTCTAGTTTTGCGAGCAAGCTGAAGTTTGTGCGTCTTATGGGCAGGCATTCAGGAACCTTTAACATAATTCAAATGTTTTTGTTTGACAATCACATGCAACAGTGGATTTCAGGCCCCAAACTCCGCCTGCGGACTTCTAGCTCGAGTGGGTCGAAGTCCATAGTGGAGCTAGCTCGAAACCCTAGAGTGGATTGGTTACACCCAAGTGAGTTGTGTCTGGGCCAATCTTTCTTGTGAGGCGAGCGATTTGTGGGGAAGACCTTTTTTTTTTCCGGCGTTGTTACCTAGACCCCTTTGGCGTGCGGCCCAAATGTTTCTACACAGCCCGCGATGACCCAGGTTGAAGGGGGCGGGCAGCTTCGCCTTGTGGGCCCCGCTCCTTCCGATCTCTTGGGGCGAAGCTTCCGATTGGGGTGGGCGGTCGATCAGCTCGAGGAAGTTGCGCTGAACCCTCCCCTTAACACTAGCCTAACACTCGCCTTTTGCAGAGTGTTAGCCTGTCGAACAGGGCCAACAGTGCACAGATCATGCTTGGATGCTTCGATGCGAACTCCTATTAGCTGCAGAGACCATGAGACCGCCATGGATGTAACCGGAGGAGCTTGGTTCGTGAAGGATGGATTTTCGTTACGAAGCTATAGGTGCATTTTTTTTGTCCATCAGGCGAACATTGTGCTTTCTGCTAAAAGGGGTCTGCGGGATTACTCTGTTACCAACTTCAAGGTCCCGCGACAAGTTCTGGGGTATGGCGCTGCGTCAGTTACAATGCTGTCCACATGGTTCATAGAGCACGAGGCATGTGTATGCCAAGGAAAGGACTAGAATGCTGGGAGCACATGCACATGAGCGAGAGAAGCCGCGAAGTTCAAACTTGCAGAGGTCCTGGAATGGTTCAGAGAGGTCCAAAGAGGTGCAGAGAGCCACAGAGTGGTTCAAGGAGATCCAGGGAGGTCGAGAGGTGGAGGTGCAGTGCTATGATGGATTTGACTCCAAAAGCTGAAAACGTCAAGGGTCAAAACGCCACGTTTTGACCCTTGACGCGTCAATCCGTTTTTACGCTTGACGCTACTGGTAAAAATTTTGGGGCAGCCCGATTTCGGAAAAAAAAAAACAAAAACGAAATTGAAATTCCGCGCTCAAAACGCGACCCGCCAAATTGAACTCGACATTTTGAGGCCCCAAAACAGGCACCAACCAAACCACACCCAAACCACCCTCCACCCCTTTGAAACTACTCAACCCAACCCAACCCCTAGTACTTCACCACAATTCTCCTTTGGAAACCCCATTCATGACTGCCCCACATGTCCTACAACTCCTGCCCCACCACCCCCCCCAACCTCTCTTACTAACCCCCCTGTTCCCAGTTTTTTTACCCCTGCCTGGGAACATTTGTTTGCCTGCCCGCCAGAGCGTCAAACTGGGGGCTACCCCTCGGGCAGGGGGCGTCAATAGCCTCAAAACGCTAGCGATTTGACTCGGGGTCAAAACGCTGAGCGCGTCAAATCCATCATAGGTGCAGTGCGGTGCGGACTCACAGAGCCTGAGCCAAAGGCTGTAGGAGATGTTCCACGTGATGGCGAGCGGAGCGGAGTGGTTCAGAGAGATCCAGAGAGGTCAGATATCGATACAGAGCGGTGCGGGCTCACAGAGCTTGAGCCAAAGGCTGTAGGAGATGTTCCACGTGATGGCGAGCGGAGCAGAGTGGTTCAGAGAGATCCAGAGAGGTCAGATATCGATACAGAGCGGTGCGGACTCACAGAGCATGAGCCAGAGACCGTAGGAGATGTTCCACGTGGTGGCGAAGACGAGGCAGCTCTTGGGGAACTCAACCCCCTGTATGTCCACGTTGCGAGCCCGGCTCCACAGGGCCTTCCCCTCCCCTGCAGGCGCCGCACATGCCTTATCACCCTCCTGCTTCCCCGCATCCCCATACCCACCGCCCTTCCCATTCCCGTTCGCCCGCTCCAATCCCCCCCCGGTCCCCTTCACGTCCCCGGCCTTCCCAGGGTCCCCCTTGGGGGTCTCCCAGCCGCTGAAGCCGAGCCCGGCGGTGATCATGGCGGCCTCGGTGATGCTCCAGAGGATGTACGCGCGGAAGCGCCACACGATGCACGCGTGGTACGCCACGAGCCAGCGGCGGTGGAAGGGATAGGTGCGGTTCTTGTGGCGGTCGCTGATGCGCGTGAGGTCGAGCGAGGGGGACACGAGCAGGAAGACGAGCGCTGAGAGCACGCCCTGGATGAACGCGCGGTAGAATGGCGGGAGGATGGGCGGCTGCTTGACACCTTGGGACCATATCTGCAGGTGGTAAGGAAGGGGATTGGCGGGAACCTGCAGAGTGGTGAGGCGCGGGGAGATGACGCCTTGAATGAATGCAGGGAAGGATGGCGGAGCGACGGACGGCTACTTGAGCGTGAAGGTCCAGATGTGTTCGGTGAGGAGAGGCGATCAGTGGAGAGGGGGATACACGGGAAGTGTGACAACCGTGACGGATAAGTATGAAATGGAGGAGATGAACAGTGGAGGGGAGGTCCGACACAAGAGGATGAAATGTAGAAGCCCGAGATCACGAAGTACGGGTGTGGCATCACAAGACAGCCCGGTGATATGGATGGTGCATCCGAGCCAGCCCACCTATCCATTGTTGACAAGTATGCATGTGCATGGATGGAAGCATGCCACGTTTGACAGCGTACCCCTTGTCTTTGGGTCCAGTCGTGGTAAGTCGTGAACTCGAAGAAGGGGCCCATCATGTGCAGCCCGAGGCAGAACCTAATCGAGTGTTTGCAGTGGGAGGGACACCCACTCAGTGGACCCTGAAAAAAAACCTTGTGAACCAGTTTGCTTGAAAAAAATCTGCCATTCGAAAACCTAATCGAGGCCAAGTCACACTACCCCTCAACCGTACCCCAGACACAAGTATGCCTCACCAGACACAACTCGATCCCAGGGACTAATTTATTGACCCGTAACTAGCGCGTAGCTATGGATAGGGAGCGCCTACTAGCAGCACTGAGAGAGTGCACCGAAAGACCGCCTCCCAGTCGGTCCACCTCCTCTGCGCCCGAACCTCCAGCGCCAAACAGTGTCGACGCGCAGCCCACCATAACTGAACAGCAGCCGCGTTTTCGCGTTCCCGTCGCCCCCGTTGTAGACGCAAATGCTCCCACTGGCACCGCGCTTTCGGGGGACTCAGAGGACGACGAGGAGCAAACCACTTATGTAAACGAGAGCGAGACAGTCGAAACCGGACGTTTCGTGTGGACCGACGCTCTCACGAGTGGATTATTGGACATTGTTCACGAAACGCAGCTCGAAAATGGCCTGGCGCCCCACGCCAAGGTCACCCATTGGACTGAAATTTTCGACAAGTGGAATGCAGTCCACCCTGAGTCGCTGTTGACTAAGGATAAACTGTCCAATCATCTTAAAATCGTCAAAGGGTGGGTGAAGGACATCAAAACTCTGCAGCGGATGTACCCATCCGGAGTGCCATGGTACCCGAAAGTGGAGACGTTCAATCCACCTGCACAGGTACGATTCCCCGGTTGACACTTAACAATCTAAGATGCTTCAACCGTTGTCCGCTCTTGCAACTCATAACTACAAGTGTCTGCCATGGACGTGTGAGTTTCCGTCACCTCCACCTTCCACGACGCCATGTGTTTCCTCCCCACAGATCTTGGAAGAGCTCCGGACGGATACCCGCTGGCCAAAGTTTAGCAAGTGGACAAAGAACGTGGCACCTTGGCTGCCCGTTGCTGAGAAGCTTGTGCACATGGCTGGAGCACGCGGCCGATGGGCAGCAGCTGGGCGTACTGGCCGTAGGGTGCTCCGGGACGATCCCGGCATGGATAACGCGTCTGTGCTCGGTGGGCACTCCCAAAATCGACCTTCCGTCCAAGGCGAAACTGTAGGAAACACTCCCCTTGGTGGCGCTGAAAACGGGGTGCAGGATGATGACGGGGTGGGCGGCGGACCGGCCGCCGCCCAGGGAAGTGTAGGCGTGGAAACTTCTCCACCTAGGAGTCGACCCGCTGCCAGTGAGGCTGATCCGCGTAGCCCACAATCTGGTACCTCCGCCGGTCCAAGAGGTAGGAGCCAAAGTGCCCGGCAAACCACCAGTGGAGGAGGGGTGCGTGCACAGACAACCTCGTCGCCCAGCACATCTACCCGACGCCGCAGGAGGAGTGAAGCGGGACGTGTGGCTCGCGGTATTGAGGCGCTGACGTCCGTGGCGGAGCGAGGAATCGCATGCAGTGTCAAAGGTGCGTTTCTGCCACGCATATGCGTGGCTGCCACGCTTTTCCTTGTGTGGGGAGATGTGGGGCAATGCTTTCCCCTGCCTTGCTCTCTGCTGCCATGCTTTCCCTTGTGCCTTGCTCTGTGCTGTCATGCTTTCCCCTGCCTTGCTCTCTGCTGCCATGCTTTCCCTTGCGTCGTGCTCTGTGCTGCCATGCTTTCCCTTGTGCCTTGCTCTGTGCTGTCATGCTTTCCCCTGCCTTGCTCTCTGCTGCCATGCTTTCCCTTGTGTCGTGCTCTGTGCTGCCATGCTTTCCCTTGTGCCGTGCTCTCTGCTGCCATGCTTTCCCTTGTGTCGTGCCCTGTGCTGCCATGCTTTACCCCGCCTTGCTCTGTGCAGACGATTACCCAACCGTTGAGAAGGCCGTTGAGGAGGTAGACGCCATGGAAGGTCTGTCCGCGGAATCGCGCGTGGAAGTGGCCTGCAATTTCTTCCGGAATCCAGTGGAAGCGGCCGGCTTCCTTCACATGAAAGAAGAGACCCGCCAAGCGTATGTGCAGAAGCGTCCCCGGGAGAGCAACACGTCCAACAGCGCGTCCGATAATGGGGTCTAGTTTTGCGAGCAAGCTGAAGTTTGTGCGTCTTATGGGCAGGCATTCAGGAACCTTTAACATAATTCAAATGTTTTTGTTTGACAATCACATGCAACAGTGGATTTCAGGCCCCAAACTCCGCCTGCGGACTTCTAGCTCGAGTGGGTCGAAGTCCATAGTGGAGCTAGCTCGAAACCCTAGAGTGGATTGGTTACACCCAAGTGAGTTGTGTCTGGGCCAATCTTTCTTGTGAGGCGAGCGATTTGTGGGGAAGACCTTTTTTTTTTTCCGGCGTTGTTACCTAGACCCCTTTGGCGTGCGGCCCAAATATTTCTACACAGCCCGCGATGACCCATGTTGAAGGGGGCGGGCAGCTTCGCCTTGTGGGCCCCGCTCCTTCCGATCTCTTGGGGCGAAGCTTCCGATTGGGGTGGGCGGTCGATCAGCTCGAGGAAGTTGCGCTGAACCCTCCCCTTAACACTAGCCTAACACTCGCCTTTTGCAGAGTGTTAGCCTGTCGAACAGGGCCAACAGTGCACAGATCATGCTTGGATGCTTCGATGCGAACTCCTATTAGCTGCAGAGACCATGAGACCGCCATGGATGTAACCGGAGGAGCTTGGTTCGTGAAGGATGGATTTTCGTTACGAAGCTATAGGTGCAATTTTTTTGTCCATCAGGCGAACATTGTGCTTTCTGCTAAAAGGGGTCTGCGGGATTACTCTGTTACCAACTTCAAGGTCCCGCGACAAGTTCTGGGGTATGGCGCTGCGTCAGTTACAATGCTGTCCACATGGTTCATACTCTGTTACCAACTTCAAGGTCCGCGTCGTCAACATTATCTGCGGTTTCATTAGCTAACAATATTCAACAAGATACAAGCTAACATCAAGGTTCTCCCGGTACAGAGGATACAAGTTCAAGCGATATAAAAGCAGAAGCAGATCCAGTGTTGTGCTCGGACATTGGCTTTCACCTCACAGAGGTTTCCTGCTTTAGTCAGGCCATCATTGCACCATGTCAAGGATGGCTACCAGGAATGGAAGCGCTTCAGCCTCGTGCATCATCTCAAGGGGTGAAGGATGCTGCACGCGACTTACTGGCTGCTGCGGGGAGTGGTGACAAGTCCCAGCCGGCGGAGGCGTCTGGAAAGACCAAACCTGCATGTGGATCGAGCGACAAGACAACTCAGCAGGAGAAGCAAGATACGATCAACCACTCGTCCAAGGTAGACGATGACGAGGAGGACGATGGCTATCTAAGCGATGATCCTGAGGAGCGGCAAGGTTCGAGGGCGAAAGGAGAGGTTGCGCAACGGATTCGCTTCGCCATTACCCTCTTGTTCCCGGTTGCTTTTAAGCAAGAGGTTACGAGGGTGACTGCGACACTGCGTGCGCTATATACTCTATGGAGGAAAGATCTGGACATGGAGGTTCAGTCAACGACCAAGTTTCAGGAGCTGCAGGCTACGTACCTGAACAAGCAGCAGTACTGCCGGCTTCAGGTGACTTTCGAGCGAGCCCGCGACGCCAACTTGGTCTGGAGACACGGGATTGTTCACACCTGCCTCGACGGAAAAACCCGGATCAACCTGGACTGGCAGCATCCGATTGACCCGGCCTATGTCAAGGCGCGCACTGCGGATCCGGAACTCGTGGAGGTCCTGTTTAAGGGGGGTTGATGCAGTGATCACGCCGGAGATGCTTCGCGAGATGTTGGTGGTGGTGAAGTTGGTCGTGCGTGGAAGGCCTGTTTCAAGGAAGGTTGTTGCTTCCACCGGGTGGTGAACCCTGTAACGGGGATGGATACAGACAAAGTAACGGGGTTGGTGAAGCCGCATGAGGGGGATCGGTATCGGTGGTGTCATCTGGTTGACGACCCGGTGAACAATGACAAGCAGCTGCTGGTGCACTGTCCGTCCCTGTCCTGCACCTACTCCTCGGGGTTTCACATGACGAGGTACCATGATGATTACGTGACGGTGCCACAGAACAACATCGGCAAATGGAGTCTGTCTTTGGGACGGGTCCATGGGATTAATGGTAATGAGTGGTGTCTTGGGTTGTCTCACCATTGCTTGCTGTTTCTGAAGTGGTACAGTGCTAATGCTGTGAGTGTGTCGAATCCGCGCAGCCGCCTCAGTCAGGACCACAGATCTGACCAGGCTCACCTTGAAGGACCCAGCGGTGGTGTTGATCTCGACTGGAGGGAATCGCGAGGAATTAATTTGTGTTCAGGAAGGTTGCGAAAAGGCGAACGGAGTTACCTTTGCTCAGGCAGCGGAGCATGTGGTGTCCCAGCGGCACAGCGATGGGCTGGTGTCGGGGTCTGCGACGCGCAGATCCAAGGCGGGTGTGAGCCTGGCGGCAGCACGGAAGGAGTTCGGGGTGTGAAGCTGACAGTGGTACCTGCGGGAGTCGAAGGCGAGAGTTTGGAAAAGGCAGCCAACTACGCAGCGCAGGCGGATCAGGAGAAGAGTGATAGGAGATGGCATAGTTTACACTATTGTACATCTGGCAGAGTAGTGGTCCTGTACGATATTGTGTTACCGCTCTGTGGATGCGAGGGGGCTTCAGAGGAGTTTTATAATGAATAACGCCAACCGCCTCACCATCGTGTCCCTGAACGTCAACGGTTTGGTGAGTATAGGGAAACAACAGACACTGAAATGGGGGAACAAAACGGATGCAGACGTAGTGATTCTAGCTGATACATGGGTAGCATAGGACCATAACTTCTTGACGGAGCTCCGGCCACACAGTATGGCTGCGGTAGCGGCACCGACTAGGGCAGGAGGGGTAGCCATCATGTGCTTCCGTGAGGGAGTGCAGTTGGAGGATGTTCAGCAGCACCCGTCCGGTAGACGGCTCCATGCCAGAGTACGGTGGGGGATGAGACACGTGCATGTGAGAGTGCGATGGCTCAGCCTACCTATATTTACATTACCTTGCATTATCTTGCTCATTTCTATTTTCTGTGCTTGATTGTGCTTGTTTTCCTAGTTTCGTTGCTTAACTATAGTTATTATCGTTATAGGCACCGAATAGGCTACATGCACCGAATTCTGTGCTTTTCGGTTTCCACCGAATTCGGGAAGGACCTCTTCAGGACGCTTCACGACCCTCGGAACCTTCTCGTAACATCCTGGTTACTGGCCTTGTTTCGTGCCTATATATAGCCCCGTAGTTGTACCCAGGATTCATAATCTATCTTCTGAACTCGATCCTATCGATCCTTCAGAACGAGTTTACACGTGAAGGTCTTCAACCGC